GAAGGAAGTTACAAGATTGCACAGTGCATTGCAAAGAACGGAAAGCCGTTTACAGATGGGGAATATATAAAAGAAGTTTTTCTCAGCAGTTTGGAGGTTTTGTTCAATGATTTGCCAAATAAAGATGCGACCGTATCTAGAATAAAAGTACTGCCTGTCTCTGCCAGAACAGTTGAGAGATGTGTAAGCGAAATGGCAGAAAACATTAAGGAAAAGCAGACGACTGCATTGAAAGACACAGCAGTGCTTAGCGTTGCAGTTGAGGAGAGCGTGGATATAAACGACGTTCCATGTTTGGCAGTTGTTGCAAGATATTGTGCTTCCGATGAAATCCAGAGGAACTTTATTGCCTAAAACCCCTGCATGGCACAACAAAGGGGGAAGATATAGCGGAAGTTTTTGTAAATCATTTTGAAGAACGAGGAGGTGACATCAGAAAAATATTTTGTGTGACAACAGATGGTGCTTATGCCATGGTCAGAAAACAGAAGGGATTTGTAAAGTTACTTGAAGATCAAATTGGCCGCCTGACAGTCAAATTTCACTGTATCATCCATCAAGAAAACCTGTGTGCTAAAATTTCTAATTCAGAGCTTAATAATGTGATGAATACACTGGTGCGAATTGTGAATGTCCTTGTTGCTCGACCTACTTTGACTGACAGACCATTTCAAGCGCGGCTAGAAGAGATGGACAGTGCTTAGAACATAAGAACACAAGATCGGCCAGACTGGGTCAGACCAAAGGTCCATCTAGCCTAGTACCCTGTCCTCTGACAGTGGCCAATACCAGGTGCCCCAAAGGGAATGAACAGACAAGTCATCAAGTGATCCGTCCCCAGTCACCCAATCCCAGCTTCTGGCAAACAGAGGCCAGGGACACCATCCCTGCCCAACCTGGCTGATAGATTCATGCAGGATAGGTCCATCAATGGCTATCTAGCTCCCTTTTGAACCCCGTTATAGTATTGGCCTTCACAACACCCTCTGGCAAGCAGTTCCAGAGGTTGACAGTGTGTTGTGTGAAAAAAATACTTTCTTGTGTTTCTTGTGTTTGTTTTAAACTTGCTACCTGTTAATTTCATTTGGTGGCCCCTTGTTCTTGTGTTATGAGACATTCCACTTCACAGCAACTTTCGGTGGCTAAGTCATGGCACGGTTTTTGTGTGCATTGTAAACTGTTTTGATGCAATCAAGGCCGTTCTGTCGGAAAAAGGACAAAACTACCCCGAACTGGATGATGACAAATGGCTGTGTAAGCTCATGTTTCTAACTGACATCACCGCTCACCTAAACGAACTCAACCTCCGTCTCCAGGGTGCAGGGCAAACGGTTCTGGATCTTTATGAAACCTGGAAGGTATTTGTTGTAAAACCAGCAGTTTTTTCTCGGGATATTCGAACTTTGACTTTCCGCTACTTCCAACACGTAAAAGAGCTATCGACACATTGCACTGTCAGCGTCGATGAGATTGGAAAGTACATGCCAAGAACGGGAATCGGAATTTTCCGACAGATTTCAAGATTTCCAGCAATGTGGCCCAATGTTTTCTTTTCTAATTAACCCTGAAAAGTTGAACGAAAGCGACTTGGATTGGTCTGTATTTCAGTGGATGGGTGTTGAAGATTTCGAAATGCAGCTCATTCAGTTAAAAAGCTCAGAATTGTGGGCATCGAAGTTTGGAGCTCTGTGGAGCGCACTTGAAGCTACGGAGAGAGATCATGGGGCCTCTGTTCTGACCTGCTGGACGTCCCTACCAGTGAAATGGAACTGTTTGAAGAAAATTGCGTTTGCAATGCTTGCAGCATTTGGATCCACATACCTGTGTGAACAGGTATTTTCACACCTGAAATCTGTCCTCTGTCCCTCTTGGAGCCAAGCCGGTTAACAACTGATCCCTCAGAAGCCTGTATGCAGCTTAAAGTATCCAAATCCGGGCCAGACCCTGGAAAACTCAGCAAGCGCAAGGATCACACTAAACTGATGAGATCTGCATTTTAATTTAATTTTAAATGAAGCTTCTTAAACATTTTAAAAACCTTATTTACTTTACATACAATAGTTTAGTTCTATATTATACTTACAGAGAGAGACCTTCTAAAAACGTTAAAACGTATGACTGGCACGCAAAACCTTAAATTACAGTGAATAAATGAAGACTCGGCACAGCACTTCTGAAAGGTTGCCGACCCCTGGGATAGATAATAGGAGAGAAAATATCATGTTGCCTCTATATAAATCCATGGTACGTCCACATCTTGAATACTGCGGGCAGATGTGGTCGCCCCATCTCAAAAAAGTTCTATTGGAATTGGAAAAGATTCAGAAAAGGGCGACAAAACTGATTAGGGATATGGAACGGCTTCCGTACGAGGAAAGATTAACAAGACTGGGACTTTTCAGCTTGGAAAAGAGACGGCTAAGGGGGGATATGATAGAGGTCTATAAAATCATGACTGGTGTAGAGAAAGTAAATAAGGAAGTGTTATTTACTCCTTCTCATAACACAAGAACTAGGGGCCACCAAATGAAATGAACAGGCAGCAGGTTTAAAACAAACAAAAGGAAGTATTTCTTCACCCAACGCACAGTCAACCTGTGGAACTCCTCGCCAGAGGATGTTGTGAAGGCCGAGACCATAACAGGATTCAAAAAAGAACTAGATAAATTCATGGAGGATAGATCAGGATGGGCTGGCAGGGGGCTGTGGGTCAGGAGTGAGGGGCACCAGCAGGGCTGGGGGGGGCAGGTCCGGGCTAGCAGGGGCTGCAGGTCGGGAGTGAGGGGCACCGGCAGACCGGGGCGGGGAGGGAGCAGGGCTTTCTCTCTCTCTCTCACCCAGCTCCTGCCCTTTGGCCGAGCTCAGGCTGCCGCGCCCTGGAGAAGCCGGGCTGTAAAACATCCCCCGGGGGCTGGGGAGATAACTGCCCCCCCAGGGACTCCATCCTTTGCCCCCGCCGTGGAGATCACATGCCCGCGATAGCAGCCCCGGACTGTGGACCCAGGACGGCAGGTTCCCGGCCCAGCTCCCTCCGCCGGCTGCTGCCCCTGCTCTGTGCCTCAGTTTCCCCCGTCTAGTTAGGTTGGGGCAGAGTCAGGACCAGCCGGAACAGAGTGCACCCCCGAAGAGCCCGTGGGACCCCTGTGCCGGGCCAAGGCCTAGAGTGAGCGCAGGTCCCGAGCTGGGGGACAGAGGGGAGAGGTGTCGCGTGCTGGGCTGGCCAGAGGTGGGGGGTGGGGGGGCCCGGCCACGGAGGCGTCATGAGAATGAATACGAGGGGAAGGGATTCCGGGGCTGCGGGGGAAGCGCCCCCCCCCCCCACGGGCCCGTTCAGGCTCCTGCACCCTGAGCGTGGGTGCCCCCGAGGGACCGAGCAACGGGCCAGATTCACATCTCAGCCTCCCCCCCCCCCGGGTC